AGAGGGGGCCGCATGGGTGGATCAAGAGCATCCTCGCCATACATATTTTGACGCAGGGTATAGTCCGGTATATTAGAGAGTGGTATTTGAGACGAGAAAAAGGGAGCGCGTCAGCCCACAGCATAACAGATCCCGAAGCCGGCAAGTCGTACGCTACCGACACAGCGACGGAGAACGGATTTGCTACGCCCGACAGCGATGCGACCTTCCAACAAAATGCAGCAGTATCATCTACAAAAAAGAAGCGAAAACAAAGCACACAGGTGCGTCTCCAGCAGCCGCTATGGGCGGCTCTGGCGAGCACCAAAATCGTCATGGTTAAGGAGTACGAGTTATCACACGCGACTTCTGAGTCAGCCGGCTCAAACGCTACCGACATTCATAACCTGGGGAACGCCCCATTCGACAGTCAAGCCGAACAGGTTTGGATATCCTACATCGGGCACGACGAAGTATGCTTCAACACCAGCCATTTCCCCGATAGCCCTAGTGCCGGAAACGGACATCTTGCGCGACCGGCGGGCGTCGACACGTCAAAGCCTTTTTACGTCCGAGTCAACAATGCCTTTTGGCAGCCAACACGCATTTACCGTATCCAGGACGAAGCTCAAGATGAGCACCTCGGCCACCATCGGTGGTGCGGGGACATCTATGGGCTGCGGCCGCTGTCCAAGTACGTCTGCGAGTTTGTTGACACCCACACGAACAGAGTCATCTTTTCCACGAGTATCCGGACCTCTTTTGCGCCCAACAAAGACCAGGAAGGGTCCGTCAACCCGCCCGTGAGCACGCCTCAATCCCTCCGCCCCGACTCGCCGGCGACGACGCTGAAGAGCACCATCAAAGCCAACAACGACCGGTTGGCGGAGGAGAAGTCCAGGCTCAAGGCGCTGCGCAAGGAGTGGAAGAGCAAGACTACGTCGCTCAAGAAGGAGAATGACAAACTCGACAACATGATTCAGACGGCAGGTAGCAACGACGACAAGCACAGGCAGAAGATCATCCAGCAAGAGACCACGAAAGCCCAGTCTGAGAAGGAAACTGCTCAGCTCGACGCAGAGCTCAAGGCGTTTGAGAAAGCACCCGATGGACTCTACGAGCGCAAGAGACAGACGGAGAAGGAATGGACTGCCGAGAAGGCCGTCTTTGACACCGCATCCAAGGAGTTTAAGGACCACAAGGCCGGCATCGCCAAGACTGTGAAGGTCAAGGAAGATGAGCAAGCCGCCATGCAGACGAAGCGGAACAAGATCGCGGCACGCATCGCCAAGGTGGACAACGAACTGGGCCGTATTACTGACGCCAACAACCGTGGTCTGGACGAGGCCGAGCGAAGACGCCAAGCGCGCGCCGCCTGGCAGGCGGACAGTTCCAAGATTGAGAACAACTTCCTCGGCAGCATCGAAACACTGCGGTCGGCCAACGTGAACAAGCAGAACGACGTCAACGCGCTACTGGCGGGTCTTCAGCAGATTCACGAGTACGTTAATAACGCCACCGCCGCGACCATGCCTTTCGATCTTGCCGAGCGTCAGCCAGCGCAGCTTCCGTCTACCTTGTACAACCCCGCTGCGCCTTCCTGGACCCCCTCTCCCGCCGGAGCGTCGCAGTTCGCGGTCCCGGCAGCGTCCATGTGGCCCACCGCAGCGACGACTGCTCCTGGCTCGACGCTTCCGCTGCCCGCGACGACGGCGTCCGCCGTTTGGGGGTTCCCGCCGGCGCATCAGAGCACGGTGTCTCTAAAGGCTAGGGGCCGTTCCTCATCGATGCTTAGTGACGTCTCCGGGTTCACGCAGTCCAGCGACGGCGACGAGTTCCTCTCGCTCAACAACACGCCGGCGCACGGGCACACGGTGCACCGCACGCCCGTGTCCTTTGCGTTCACCCGGCGCCAGCGCAGCGACGGCGCAGGCTCCGGCGGCAGCAGTATTCACAGCGGGAGCGGCAGCGGAAGCTTGCGGGATCCGGCGAGTCCGATTTGAGATGTGCAAAGTGTCTGTGTCTGTTTCTGTTTTTAGGTAGTCTAGCTTTCTCGGCTTGGGACGTGGCGTGCTGGATATTTCGTCAGCTCGACGGGATGTCGGTAGCGATTTCTCATAATGAAAAGTGTTGCATTGTTTAGAATCTTGTGTCAATTGCTGTGATGTCTATTCCACTGTGACTATGTCCAATCTACATTGCAGACACAGTTCGAGTGCAGTAGGTCATGTTGTCGCGAAGACGGCATTGTGCAAGCCTCCGACGCGCTGCTCGGCTCCAAGTCCCCCGAGACGGAGCCAGGGTGCGTCGTCGCGGATAGAGTGCGCCCCCCTCGTGTCCTTTTTTTGTCGGTTCGTCTCAAGTCAGAGGCTTGGCTCCGGCATGGCCCCGGCAGTTGGATTTGGCGGCGGCGGCGGTGCCGGGTTTTGAGTTGGCGCGCTGCAGGTGCGGATTAAGCTGGCTGTAGATGCAGAGTTTAAACAAACAAGATAAAATTCACGTGGGATGGGTGGTCTTTTTGTGAGATCGATTGCGTTTTCTGTTCATCACACAGATGTTACTGAGAGACGAGGTAAAGAAGCGGAAAGTCCAGGCCTCATGCCGCTGTCGAGATGAATTGTCTCATTAAAAAGGTTAGGCGATTCGTACTTGGAAAGATGCGATAGCGATAGGATGGGTGGGGGTAGATAGTGTACGTTCCCGTGGTTCATGCCACGGCTGGCGGAGTGGTTACACAGGACGGGAAACAATTCGATGAGCGAGGCGTTGCTGCGATGGTTTTTTTTTTTTTTTTTTTTTTGGCCAAGGCAGCTTTCTAGACGTTGGATATAGTTTTGCGGTGAGATGGGTCACGTCCATGTTGTTACATATTTGCAGAAAATGAGGCGGAAATGGCTTATAGGCATATCTTGTCGCGATGAGAGGAAGCGGTGAATATACCGCCTGGTTGTTGAGTAATTGTGCTTCCGTAGATCTGTGTGAGGTGAAGTTGCGGTGCGGCAGGCGCCCTCTCTTGCGAGAAGACAATCTCACGAGGACGTCCTTCTTCCTGGACCGGGGTATTTGGTACAGTCCTCGTCTCTCACGTGTGTTGAAGAAAATGATGCCCGAGTCCTGCGGGTGGTTGGAAGTGGAACTGTCTGTTTTTTCGTTTTATCTGCACTCTTTCCAAGTTTTCGTGCAGTGAGGCGGGGTGTTTGCGGTTTGAAGGCGAATCATCAATGTGAGGATGGATCTCACGATAGGGAGGGAGGGGTAAGGGCGGTGGTTGGCGTCTGCGCTTTTCGCATCTGCAAGTGTTGACTCACTGGAATGTAGAGAGCGGGGTTATCTGTCCAGTGTCGAAACAAACTGCTTCAAATCTGCAGGCTTCCAGAGCATGTGAACGCCTGGGGACACGAGAGAGAGAGAAAAAAACAATAGTCCAACGGGAGCACAGGGGCCGGCGGTAGAGGCAGGCCAGGCACGGAGGAGGATGGATGGATCTAGAGCAGCGGTAGCGTCGTTTCTCGGCGGCTACGCGCATATGGGGTGATGTTTTGATTGATTGAGTTTTTGGGTGATGGGGGTGGTTGGTTGGGATTGTGTTCCACTTGGGGAGCGAGTACGGATAAGAGATGGATATTGGAGGTAAGGCGTGAGGCAGGCTGTGGGAGTTCAGTGCATAGATGTACATTGCAGCTATGCATGAGATACCTACTTATGTTAAGAATGATTTGTCTACACTAAAAGAGAAGCAAAAAGGCACATGTATTCGCCAATAGAGAGTCTACCGCGGCCAATGCTGCCGCTTGACCGGCGTCTCGGCTACGCGCAGGGAGTCCAGCAGCAGCACCACCACCACCACCACCGGCTGACTTGCCCCCCCTCCACCCTCACCCTATGAGCGGCGCGGGTCCCGGCGGTCCCTGCGCCAGAACGCTGGAAGAGGGGGTCAACCACTCACGGGGCGGGGCTTAGCTCGGCGAATGGGAGACGGAGGCGGGGGGTCGATGGGGGAGGTGCAGCGCGCTGGAGCCGTCTCTGTTTTTTAAGCATTGTTTTGGGGCCATTGGTAGCGTCTTCTTGGGTCAGTAAGTACTGCGTAGATTCACGGCGGAATGATACATTGGTCCATTGAGCAGAAAGTGTCTTGGTCGGCTTGTTGTGTGCATGGGCAGAGAGGCTAGGTGCCGCCAGGGGTGAGTGTGCAGTTGTTGTCTTTAAAGACGACACATGACGCCTGTTTTCGCGTGTAGCACCGCATCGTCGGCCTTCTCTCGTTGCCTCCCGCTCTGTGTAGAAGTGTTCAGCTGTTGCCCCCTTTTCTGGATCCTCCCAAAGGGGTAAATAATTCGGATTCTCCCCCTTTTGAGCATCCTCTTCGCATACAAGCTGAGCCTCGATTGCGGAGTCTTCGCCCCAGCGGCAGATCGCCAGACGTTCCCATCCCGCCCGCCGGTTCTCGCATACCGACCGCAACAGCATTCATCCCGGCACCGGACCTCACGTACTCTTACCGAACGCCGCTCACCGAATCGTCCGGAGGTGGAAGGCGCAGTCCAGGTGGATTCTATTTCCGTGTAACGGACCAGCAGTGACGACATTCTACTTTTTTTGGCTTGTGCTCTCCCACGAGGCGGACGTTTCGGGTTTTGCACTTTGCATTTGCGCGCCTTTCAGCTGGCCTTGGTTGACAAGTCAGCTACGCCGAGCGAGTTTTTCGTCTGGTCTTTTGTTCTGAGAGACCGACGAGGAGTTTGCTGGTTCTGCCTTGGCCTGGTCTGCGCTTTTGGCACGCAAGACCGAGGCACGAGACACAAGGACAGAAGGGCGGGTTTGCCTTATTTACGCCGCCTTGTCGTTTCCTTTGGACAAGCGGTCTGCTGAGGGTGTGCTTTCTTGGCGTCTAGAAGCTTGTTCTCGAAGGAAACATATAGGCAACGCTCCCCCTCGGAGAGTTTTGAGTTGAAAGCTTGGGTTTTCATGCCAAGATTCATGTTCGTTGACAGGAAACGTTGACACACTCCATGTGATCGAAGATGGGCTTCTTCGACCGCAAAAAGATCCGCAAGGCCGAGCCGGCCCCGGTCCCGGTGAACCACCCGCCGTCGTCACGATACGCGACTTCAACCACACAGACGCCTCAATACTGGCACCCACCACCACCATACCCGAACCAACAGTACCCCGTCCAACACCCTCAACACCAACAGCCCATCCGCCACCCCCCAAACCGGCAATACCAGCAGCCCATCGTGGTGAACCAGCACTACTACATCACGCCGCCATCCTCCGCGCCGCTCGCCCTGCCGGCCCCGCCGCGCCCGGGCTCAACCGTACCCTCATCATGCCCCGCCGGCCTCAACAAGTTCACCGGCCCCGTGGCGACCATCGCCAAGGACTTCGCCTCGCCCCAGTTCTTCGACGAGCCGAACTTCCACCCGCACGCGACGCAGCTGATCAACTCCACCGCGGCGTGCGTCGACCAGATCGCCGGGTGCTTCAACGACGTCATGACCATGATTGACGGCGGGAAGCTGTCTGGGCACGAGAAGGCGCTGTTTACGTACCAGCAGCAGCCCGCCCCTCGCGAGCAGCAGCAGCAGGTTGTGCCGTACGAGGGCAAGAGGAGCGGCGGGAAGTCGAGCAGTAGCAGCAAGAAGAAGAAGGAGAGCCATTCGAAGGGGCAGGGCGTCGCGGAGAGTGTCGCGAGCGGGAGCTACTTTTCTAAAGTGGACATGTACGCCAACGCGAGGCTGCCCCTGAACCTCCCGCCTCTTCGGCTGTAAGTCTCAATCTCCTCCCTCGCAAAAGGTATAGGTTACTAACAATCCCAGATACATGCCCACCTGGCCGCTCCTCTGCATGGCCGCCCAATACGCCGAGCGCGTCTACGAGACCCCCAAAGGCGCCGAGCGCGACACCCACGTCAACGCGGACTGGAAGCACGGCACCAAGGCCATGGTGATCAAGTCCGTGCCCATGGACCACATGAACACCATCGTCTTCGCGATCCGCGGCTCCGCGACCTTCATGGACTGGGCCGTCAACCTCAACACGGCGCACGCCTCGCCGACGAACTTCCTCGACGACCCGGGCAACTTCTGCCACGCGGGCTTCCTGACCGTCGCGCGGCGCATGGTCAAGCCCGTCGCGGCGAGGTTGCGGCAGCTGCTCGAGGAGGACCCCGCGCGCAGCGGGTACTCGCTGCTGATCACGGGGCACTCGGCGGGCGGGGCGGTGGCGAGCTTGCTGTATGCGCACATGCTGGCGACGAGTAAGGCGGCGCAGAGCGAGTTGAATGTGCTGACGGGGTGTTTTAAGAGGGTGCATTGCGTGACGTTCGGGACGCCGCCGGTGAGCTTGTTGCCGCTGAAGAGGCCCGAGTGGGCTGAGCTGAGGAAGAGTTTGTTTTTGACGTTTGTGAATGAGGGGGATCCGATTGCGAGGGCGGATAAGGCTTATGTGAAGTCGTTGCTGGAGTTGTTGGCGTCGCCGGCGCCGAGTTTGGGGAAGCAGAGGGGTGGGGAGGAGAGGGAGAGGGATAGAGAGAGGGAGAGGAAGGGGAGGGGGGTTGTGGCGAAGGCGAGCAAGATCTCGTTGAGGGGGAAGGAGAGCAGTGCGGTGGTGAAGGAGGAGAGGAGGGCGAAGAAGCCTGTTTGGGAGTTGCCGGCTTGCACGCTGAGTTCGCCGGGACGGATTGTGGTGTTGAGGAGCGGGGATAAGAGGGAGAGGATCAAGGATAGGAAGACTGTCGAGGAGAGGTTGAATGAGGGGGTCGTGGCGCAGACTGTGACTGACGAGGAGCTCAGGGGGGTGATTTGGGGAGACCCGGTTTGCCATGTCATGAAGCTGTACTCGGGAAGGATCGAGATCTTGGCTGTTGGAGCTGTTACGGGCAGGCATGGATGATGAGGAGGATAGGGGCTGGCGTTTGGGCATGTTGATACCATTGATTTCTTCTATTTGGATGACATGACTTGACGATTTACGACAAATAATGCTAGAGGTCACCGAGTTGAATATCAGAATGATTGATAAGTAACAAGCTTCGCTTTTTACGCTAGTCTGTGGGTTGGAATTCTTCTTAGTTTAAATGTATTTGGTGTCCTTATCGTGGCTGTTGTGACTTTTGTGGATTGTGCTAGCAACATCCGGTTCCTACAGTTTGACCAAGGACAAGGTCAAAGTGGCTTGATCTGAGTCGAAGTCACAGCATCGATCGTCCAGCCAGGGCCCACTGTGCAAGGAACGGTTGTAATTTGAAGCGTTGACATACTTGCTGTCATAATTCACTTAACTGGGGCAAGCAGCTGTTTATAAATGCTTCATGTTGAGCTATCAAATGCCGTGCAATATCCAATCACAAGATGTAGTAGTTAGTTGGGGCGCGCAAGCAAAACAACGCACTGTGCTCATCTGTATCTATCTGTGTCCTGCGGGCGGTGTAATATGGCGAACCAGGCAGACACTTGTGGCTGAGCTTTCAGGTAGCCAACGAATTGCAAAAGAGCGGTTAGCCTCGACTGTACAGCCGATCGCGACCCAAGGCCTCCATGCCATATATGCTGATAAGCTCCCCGCATTATGACATATCTACTATCCTTCATATCAACCGGGCAGGCTGTCGTTCCTCAGCAAAAGACACGTCTTGGCTGAGAATTTTCAGTCAAAAGAAGAGAAATCAGCGATTTCGAACCGCTGCATTCAAAACCAACTATATCTACTCCTTGAAAATTGTTCATACCTCGAAGATGGCGGAAGCCCTTGGTGTGACTGCCAGCCTTATCGCCATCTTGGAGCTTTCAACGAAGACAATCGCATACATTCTGGTTGCCAGAAACGCGGCTAGAGAGAAGGCTGACTTGGCCTCAGAAATTCAAGCGTGCCAAATTCTCATTAGTGGAATAATAGGCGTCGTCGACAGTGACCACTGGACAACGACCCTGGAAGTTCTCAGTCAGCCAGAGGGACCCTTGGCTGCTCTCGAGGCAATTTTCATCGAGATTTTAGAGAAGATTGACTCACGCGATGGCTGGCGCCGTGGGCTGAGGGCTCTCAAATGGCCGTTTGACGAGAAGCACATCAAAAACTTGCTCGTCAAGATCGGTGGTCACAAGGAGTCGCTCTGTTTGGCCTTAAGTGGCGAGACCAGGTTAGTGCTCTCAAAACTGGCGCATTAACATCACCTGACGGAGAGGGGCCACCAAGATTATACCTGCAAGACAAGATTATTCCGTTACTCGACCAGCACCATAAAGGCCTAAATCAACTCCGAACGCTTTGTACCGATGCGAACGAGGCCATTCATTGTATGATCGCACGTTGCCTCTTGATGGCTTGCTTACACGCACTGATAACATAACAGATGTTACAGAAAGCATCGACTACATCATGGATAGCGCGGTTCTTGAATGGATAAGCGGACTAGACTTCAGAACTCGTCACGACACTGTCCTTGGGTCATGGAACCAAGCCTTGGACACGGGTAAATGGATTCTAGGGCATCCTAAGTTTATTGAATGGAGGGAGTCTTCAGCTAGTGATACGAGAGTCTTATGGTGTCACGGGATACGTGAGTAATCTAGCATCGATACCATTGCGTGCCATCTGACTGGAACATACGCAGCGGGTGCGGGTAAATCCGTTATTGCGTAGGTTTGACAGAAAGGAAATTAGACTGCATAGCTCACAACTCACAGGGCCATCGTGTCAGAAGAACTGAACTCTGACCGCGAGATTGTTGCATCCAATAAGAGGTTCAGCGTCGCGACTTGGTATTGCGACCATGAAACTCAACTGAATGACATACTGAGAAGCATTTATCGTCAAGCGCTAGCCGGACAACATACAGTTCCTATCAAGATTCACCATCTATACAAAGAAGAGAGAAATCGCGGCCAACCCACAACTGAGAAGCTTTTTGATGCATTCCGAAGATCTCCAGAATGCCGGCAGACTCTTTTCGTTGTGATAGATGGCCTAGATGAGGCAAACGACGACGTGCAATGCAACATCACTCAGAGACTCCTAGACCTTCCGTTCGAGGATATTAGGATACTGTGTACTTCACGTACCTTGTCGCCATTTCAGGAAATATTCGCAAAGTCACCGCAGATTGAGATCTCTGCAACTGACGGAGATGTTGCCACATACGCGAAAACCCACTTACAGGGTGACATAGGTCTAGCAACGGTGGCCGGAACGGATGTAACGCTTCAAGAAGAAATTGTGAAACAGGTCACTGAGAGGTCAAAGGGAAGGCAAGTGATGTGTCACCCCAAACATATGAGACCGACTAACATCCGACAGCTTCCTCGTGGCAACATACCACATGGAGAGGCTTTCGTATGCGGGCTCGAAAAGGGAGATAAGACAAGCCCTCAGAAAGCTCCCAGAAAAAGCCAAAGGTGCCTACGAAGTAATAATGAAGAGAATATTGGGGCAACCAGAAGTTGCGCGACTTCGCGCTCGAAAGATACTGGCATTGTGTTTTGGTGCCAAAGAACAACTCACCATGAAGGAGATTCAACACGCGCTGGGCATTCTCAGCATATACGAAGACAGAGATACTGATGAAAATTCTTCGGAGATATTGCACGAAGACGAGCTTCCGACCGAAGATAGTATCATTAGATGCTGCCTAGGGCTCTTGAAGCATGAAGGCAACAAAATACGCGCATCGCATCATACGGCCACGGAATACTTCCGTGAAGAATATGGGACATGGTTTCCAGATGGGCACGCTATCCTCTCAATTGCTTGTTGCAAGTACCTGTCTCAAAAAGCGCTGTTAGAGGAATTCGCGAATTACCAACCATTGCGAGACGAGGATCACGGACCTACCCGCTTTTACGATACAAATCGAAATCGCTGGCGTCAGAGGTTTTGTAACACCACCTATCACTCTACTACTTCTAAACTTGGTGAAGCGTTAGATACTCAGAGGTATTTCGTGGAGAAGCATGCCTTCTTTCGATATGCCGCCATATTCTGGGGCGTTCACTTTTGGGAGGCTTTGCAAGGCAAATATTTCCACTCGGAGAGGCAGACTTCCATTTTTACACACGCATGCCCGACGACTGAGATATATGCCGTGGCGGGCGAACATACTGAAATAGCAAAGCTGTGGAATGAACGCATATTTCGAAGCCCACAAACTTTGGAAAGTCTGTGGAGACACGAAGCATCGGTCCTAGTTCGGACCATCCAGGCGGCATCCAGGGCGCTTCATCCGCTGAAACAGGAAGTCAATGGCAGCAACTCAGACGAAATCACATGGAACCTGCTGTTCAAAGCAATCGAAAACCATGATGAAGGGGCTGTAATGTTTCTTCTCACATTACCTGGTCTCTACTGCGAGAAAACACGCTCGCGTATTGATGGAATGCTAGAAAAAGCAATCATGCTAGGTTACGCTGACGTAGCCCAACGTCTTCTCTCGCTCGTCTATATGTGCGGCATCAAATCGCAAAAGGGATGGAACCCTGAACTATCAGCTTTGGAGCTGAAAGCGCTGAGGAATTTTCAGGTCAAGTCTTTATATGCTTATCTCGGAAGAGACAAGCTGTGTACGCCACATCATTTCAAAATCATGCCCTTCGACACGCAATGGTGGTACAAGCCCACTAAAGACCGAAAGAAAGTCTTCGAGGACTTACTGGCGATTACGAGGCTTTCCGACCCTCAAGATGGTCTGAAGTTTCTCCTCGACTTAGTTGCAGAGCTTAATCGTCGCTCTTTACGGAGCTACCAACCACAATACCTAGACTTTGTCGCAGGATTCATCAGAAACAACTTTGATATGAGCGCTATTGATCCACATAACACCATCGAAATGTCAGCAAGATACGGCCTAAATGTGCCCATTCAATACCTCACGCAGGATATCAACCACTCAAACATCAATCCTGAAGTGATGTGGTCAACAGCACAGAGCGCCCTCGATAATGGCGAGTACTACACGTTCCTTTTGCTTCTACCTTTTGTTGTCATTGAGAGTAAGATCTCATTACGCCCTTTGAGCCTTGGGCCCAAACATGATTTTCCTGAGCCATTGAGAAAGCGACCTCTGGGAAATGCACTTACAGTTCTCCTGTCGTATACGGGGCCAGGTCATCTTGGACTTGCCACAGACGCAAATAACCGAACGGCTCTGTCCTGGTTGATGTCAGACGACATTCTAAGCACAAAATATCTCAAAGACTTGATCGATCTTTTATTGGGCGACAAATACAAGACAGAGATCGACTACCAAGACAAGCATGGCAAAAGTGCGCTGTCGTACGCTGCACAACGGGAGGCCCTGCTCGAAAGGGACGGATGCATTCTTCAAAAGCTTCTTGAAGCAGGTGCCAGCCCTAACGTGCGAGATAAGCAAGGCATGACACCAATTCTCTATGTCGCTGCAGCCAGGATCAGATCAACCACAGGCGGTCTCATACATGTGGAATGCTTTCGTAGTCTGTGCAACTTCGGAGCCGACGTGAACGATAAAAACGGTCGTGGGGTGGCTGTTCTGGATTTTCTCGTTCACGGGCGTGTCTTCGACCATCACGAGGGAAGGAACTTTGCGGAGATGTTGCTTGAAAACGGTATGAGAACCGGCCTACAAAGCATGCCGCTCCTTTCGATAGCACAGCAATGGTCCTATACGCCAGCATCTCTGTCTAAATATGGAGCAATGATGCAACGCATTTTCTGGGTTCTCGTCGAGAAGGCCGATCCCGACATACAGAACAAGGAAGGGAAAACACTACTCGAGCTTGCAGAAACTTCTGCATCTGACGAGTTTCAACTGATGGTCAGATTTTCGGTCCTTGTCAAAAAGGTTACGAAAGAACCACTGGCGGGTGACACGTTAGGATACTTGGATCTGAATGCTTGTCTATTTCGTTTGCAGGGTTGTAGGCTAGCAGAGGGCGCGAAAGAAGACGTCGCACGATTGTGTCAAAGGAAGATGAATGAGATAGAAGAAGGATACAGAAGAACATCAGAACGAAACAGCACGCTAGGACACAAGATAGAGCGAGGGATATGTCGCTCTCTTTAATTGATAATGCTGTCTCTGGACAACCACCAAAGTCTAAGCTGTATGTAATGCACCAAAAGTCTAATAGTCATTCAACAAATCCTCGTCGACGAGCCACCGTTTCGGAGACATGTAATTATCGACTTATGTGCGGATATTCAATCCTCGCAACAGAAACCCGAACTAGTCCGTGACTGATGAAGAGGTGTGAAGCAGAAGGACGATTTTGTGTAAATCACATGACGGCTTACGGACAATAAGAGACAAAACATCCAATTTGATCATCATAAAACGGGGGATCTGACTAAAGAACTACTAAATCAAAATTTTACAGTCGAAACCTCTGACAGAAATTCAAGAGGACATAACTGTCCACGAAGCGCATCTTTTCGTCTCGTTCAACCCACAATGAAGATCCTTGGATGCTAACCAGCCTCTGTGCTATGGCCCAACATGAATATAGGCAGCCCATATTGAAGGATCTCCTTCACTACGAACTGCATATTCTTCAAATCCTCGAGGCCTCTCTTGATTCGCATCCATCTTCCCATGACTCAACACATCCAAATTACGGGAATCGAGGGGTTTGACTCGTCGAGTCCACATTTCACCAGTTGTCTTCTTCCGAAGAAGTCTCGCTGCGTTGTGTACGCCCCGTGCCACGGACTCATCGGTCCATCCATCCTCCACAATCGTTCTATACACTTCCGCGGCTGCTTCAGCCGAACATTCGTCGTCTATTCTCCAAAGCGACCCAACTGCATGTGGGAACCCCGCCAGTTGGCAAGCACTCACAAGATGGATTGACTCGTCTTGCAACCTTTCCGCTTGATTGTCTCCTGTAGAACATGCTGAAAGATAAGCTAGCCAAGGTGACTTTTCAAACAGCCTCAGAGCGGTCAGATCCTCGACGGTCAGAGGGTTCTTGACCCAGTCGTTGAGAAGTAGGGAGCTTTTCGAGGGGTCTAGAGAGTCGGTGATACCATGTCCTGCAAAATGAAACGCGGTGCAGCTTTCCAGGCGAAGCAGTACGTCATCTTTCTCCGGCTGACTCAAGAGTGTGGTGGGTACCGCCGGAGATAGAAGACTGTTAATAGTCTGTATTTCCTGTTCGGCAAACTCTAAATCGCTAGGCTCTAGACTACCCTGAGA